GTGGGAGAGAGAGAAAGAGAGAGTGGGAGAGAGAGAAAGAAAGAGAGAGGGAGAGAGAGTGGGAGAGAGAGATAGAAAGAGAGTGGGAGAGAGAGAAAGAGCGAGAGGGAGAGAGAAAAGAGAGTGGGAGAGAGAGAAAAAGAAAGAGTGGGAGAGAGAGAAAAGAGAGTGGGAGAGAGAGAAAGAGAGAGTGGGAGAGAGAGAATGAGAGAGAGGAAGAGAGCGAGTGGAAGAGACAGAGAGAGTGGGGAAGAGAAAGAGCGCGACCCTGGCTGCGAGGGCGCCTACTCACCCGGCCACCTTGCGCGCGCGCGCCAGCCCGTGCACCAGCTGCGAGGCGGCCGACGGCGCGCTCCACGTCCACTCGGCCGGCTGCCCGTCGCCGCCGCCCGCGCCCGGCGACCCCGCCTCGCCCAACCTGCCGCCGACGCACGCGCTCAGCACACGCACACACACACACACACACGCAAGCAGGTTTAAAACTAGGTTTTTTTAAAATATAGAAATAATAAAATGAGCTTTTAAAATAAAAAATTATGAAAATATAAAATAAAAAAATAATAAAATATTAAAAAAAATAACCAAATACATTTTAAAAATAAAATAACCAAGTCCTGTTTTAAAATAAAATATAACCATTTTTTAAATAAATATTTTTGAAAAATTCAAACAAATAATTAAATACATTTAATTTTTTTTGGCATCTTACTTCAAATACAATACTGAAGGAAGAGAATTTTCTTAATGGAACTTGTTGTTCAAAGAAAATCTTGAAATAATGTTATGTACAAATTTTCGAAATTATGACTATTTATTTCGTAAATGGACGTGAATTACAGTCTATCCAAAAATCGTTTAAACAATTATTTTCTCCAAGAACAGCTCCAATTTTTTCTTCATTTTCTCCTTGTCTACGTCGATAAACGATAAAAAATGATGTGATCTCATCAGGGAACTGTTTTTTTTCTAAAATTTCAAAACGTATACATTGTAAAAATTCAATATGGAAGGTAGAGATCGTTGTCTTCGTAGAAGATCAGAAAATGTGACATCTCAATGTAAATAACTCAAAAATGTAAAAATTGGATTCGTTAGTAAGTTTCACTTGTGTATCGAAGGTATAATTTTGATTATATGATAAAATGTTGAGAGAACAACAGCAGACATACTCACTATGCATAGTTGTGAATCAGCGCAGTGGAGTCGATAGAAGCAGGGGAATGGTGCTCTGTTAAATTAATATTTAATTTAACAATGGGCAAAGAGTCTCGATATCAACAAACTTTTTATCTTAATGGATGAACTGTTGGTCGAAATCAGAGGTAATACCAACAAAACCATATGTATTATTTATATCGAATTTCTTTATTATAACGATATCGGTAAAAGGGGGGTGATACCATTAGTTTGGCCCCGGGTGCCACCAATTGAATCTACGTCTTTGAATCAATGCACTATCGATAGAGTCAGGGTTGTGAACTATATCCAAGACAGTGTGTCGTATTAGGTGCCGAAGTCGGAATGTGGAAGGAGCAAACAGCCAAAGTTCACGCCTGCCTATAATTAGTCTAGAAAGAGTTTAGTAGATTAGTGAGTAATCGTCTTCTAACGACGGGTTTTCCCCATTCAGGACTCTTTCCCTGAGCCGTAGCATATGGTCTTTTTCGCGTCTTTGGTGCAATGGAGAGATCATCTGGATGAATACTCGAGTGTGGATTACGTGTGCAGGGATTTTTCGGGCGCACTTTATTGCAAAAATCCTTTCTACACCGGTTGTATCTCAGAACCAGCGCTGCCCTTGAATTTGAAGCGACCTTGACTAATTTTTGATGCTGTCCGGACGAATTTAGGCGCTGTCGGCAAGAGAATTCTGACGATCGGTTGCTCTGTTTGGTATGTTTCCGTGATTTCTCCTTTTAATACCAGATGAACGCCAGAGCAGATACCTAACAAACAGGCCACGGACCGCGCACGGTCGTCTCTTCATCTTCCTTGCCCTTTCTTTTCCCTCACATGCACACCTACTTCCCTATATTTCCACATACATGCGCTATACTTCCACATACGTTTCAACCACTGTTTCAAGAAGGCGGTTTCGTAAATTTATGATCTTTGTATTAAGACAATTTATATATTGCACTGGTCTATACTCTAAAAAATATCAGTTATCATAAGCAATCATTTTAAACACAGTGACGGAATTGGTTATGCAGTTGGCTACATGACACTTACGTACGTACAATATAGAAGAACTATCGGACATTACCGGATTCATTTGGTTCTAAACTGTTCTTGTATTCAGCAATTTTCGAGTCAAACGAGAGTCGAGACCGGAGTGAACACGAAAAGAATTCATACAATGTGCTAACAAATGCTTAAGAAAAGTGGACGGTTAAATGGTCAGCAAAATCACTTGAAACCTGACATGAAGTCTGCTTGGCCGTTTGAAGCACCATTAAGCAATCTGATGGTCGTGGGAACTTTGTAAGGAACTTCTTGAAAACCCCGATTAAAATGGTTGGCATTAGGCATCGTCCAGAACGGTCTCTACAATATGATGACAAATTGTTACTTTTGTAATTGTTAACGCAAGTATTTTTAAACTATTTATTCTTTCTGTTCAACGTGAATGTTTTCCCAAAGATTTTGTAAAAAACATTGGAATAATTCCCGCATTTCATAAAGCTTGTTACCTTCATCCATGCGAGACATGAAAATGTAAAAAACTGATTCAATATTGAATTATATTCTTTTTTCTTTTTAGTTTTGACGTATATAATCTTCATAAATTTTATTTTTATATTTACTGGAAGTTCATTGTGAATGGAGCATATCATTTGGACGTATTTGACAATTTTATTTTGTTTTACCTTCACCAAAGCATTAGAACAAGGTGAAGATGAAAGATAGTCTTCTCAATGAAGATATTATAAATAAACAGTACAATTAGCACTATCCATACAAAAAGTTTAAAGAAAAAATTTGGAGCCGTTTTTGAGAAAATGGCATTTGAGAGTTTCTAAAAATGCGGAATTTTGAGCTTGTTTTCACGGAAAACTTTTCTGTTTTTGATAAGCTTTATATGACATCATCTAAAGCACATGTACTCGTAAACGCAATAATGTGAAGAAATGCCGCTAATGCAATTATAAACGTGAGATGCTAGTAAAAAATTTACGTTTTTGTAATTTTCATAAACAAATAGAAGAATAGAGCAATAAGGCGTTTAGGTCAAAGAGTACATCCCTTCCAAAAGTAGCACGTTACTACTATGTCTTCCAAAAGTTTAAAGAAAAACTTTGAACTGTTTTTAAGAAAATCTTGTTATTGATATTACTTAAATTGCACACATTGCACTCAATATTCCACGAAAACTAACAAAACGTTCTAAACTTTACTTTAATGAAAGAACTAACTACGGAGAGAAAAAGAAACATTTGAAGGAAAAATCTCGATCTTCAGTTTTGTAGTTGTAGGATGATGACGAAAAAGATTCAAAATTTTGCAATTATCGAAAATCGAGTTTACAAGTCAAGTCAGCCATGTTCTTTATTTGCTGTGCAATTGCTCAATCACGTTAATAACTATTAGATTCTTTTCGTTATTTTAGAAAGTCATAAAGTCATTGACTTTTATCTCTATCGGCCGGGGGCTCGGCACGATCAGAATCTGGGGTTCACCCATTCAGGGATCCTCGGTGTTTCCGGCTATTTAACCTTCGTAACTATACGGAGCGTAGTTAAGCAG